AAAAAAAAAAAAAAAAAAAAAAAAAAAAAAAAAAAAAAAAAAGGACCAAGAACCAATAAAGAAAACCACAATTAACATAGCAACTGAGCTGTTATTTAAATATTTCTTTCAGTGCTATGTCACCCCTGAATTCAGCTACTATCCTGGGCACTCATTACATAGCTGAACTGTTTGCTTCATCTCATATTGCCAGTCAAGACAAACCCAAACTTCAGAGATGTATCTTACACAATGGGCACAGAAGTAGAACAGTGTGTCAGTCTTTAGCAAGTGTTGTACTCTTGTGGCTGATGTACCACTAAAGGTAAGAACGATACACCAGAAACAGATCCTTTTTTATTAGGAGGGTTCTAATGTAGAGAGATGATGGTTTGCAGGACAGGATCAGAGCATTTGCTGTACTTGGCAATTACTTTCAAGTTCTTAATTTGTATTTTAAAAGCCACATTTCTTTTTCCACAGGCCAAGAAGAACCACCAGAAAAACAGGGGAGGAAAAAGCAGCTTAAACACATAAATACATGCATCAACTCCTGAGATACAGATCTAACCTTCCAGCAATTACAAAGAGAAGCCAGCTCACCCACCACGTCTGAAACTGTGTTAGGAAACGTGAATTACAGGTCCATAAATTTTAAGACTTCAGCTACATCCTCTTTAGAAGACTCCACAAAAAAGATTCAGGCATTTTAGTCCAGATTCCACAGGTTACATTCTAGCCTGTTTTGGATGTAGTTCAGGGAAATAATTTTTCTTGGTGAGTTCCAAGAATAACAGTGTTTCTTCCTACTTGGCACCTTTACAAAGCACAGACAGCAGCTCTCAAAGCCAGTTTCATTCCCCCCTTGAGATACACTTATTTGCTTAGGTGATCCAGGGTCATTTACAGAAAGAGGATACCAATTTCAAAATGGTTTCATAACATTTAATTCTGTTTTCTGTTCTCTCAGGTTCCATATACTATACATACATCACACTTTTCAGTTTCTTGCTAATGGAAACTTAACTACTGCTACTGAAAGTCATGTTTAGTATTCTCTGTTTATTCTAAGGACTTACTGAGTTGGTTTTAGTTCCATCCTGACTAACATACAGAGGACTACGGTAGGAATACTTAAAACACTGCACACAGCCTTGACCTTTAAAAGTAGATAAAATCTGGACCAGTTAAAAAAATACCACTGGTTAGTTCTTTTAGGATTGATTATAAGACATGCAAAGAAGCTGTATTAACCTGTTCACATTACAGCTCTGCTACTCCCATTCCCATTTAAACCCCTAAATTGTGATGTTGCAAACTCTGAACTCTGAAAACAATCAGCTGCAGCTTGGCACTCCAAGACTGTTCTCAAATCTTCCAGTCGGGGCTAATGCATCAATTGAGGTCATAGAAGAGAAGGGTTGGAAGGGGAGCTCCAGGATCATCTGGCCCAAACTTTCTTGGCAAAAGCACAGTCCAGACAAGATGCTCCAGCACCCTATCCAACTGAATCTTAAAAGTGTCCAATGTTGGGGAAACCACCACTTCCCTGAGGGGATTATTCCAAGGCTGATTTTTAACAGCTGATAAGATGTATGCTTCCTGCAGATAACGACCTGGCTGTACTTAAGCACTTTGCCTTTTCAGTAGGATGAGTTTCTGAATGTCTCCAAGACAAGAAAAATGCATGCCAGGAGCAATCCTGGCCTTGGGCGGGATGATGCTCTTTCCAAACCTATGTTTTCATTGCATGAAAAGCAGATACACATGTAACTGTTCACAATATCAGCAACTCAGTTAACATAGGCTGTAATGGAAACTTGGGAAAAGTATCTGAAATCGGTAGTTCCACAGCTCACTCAGCTTTGTAGAGTGGCAAGTAACAGTGACATAATTGTTTTTCTGTTACATATAAGTGAAATAGCCCTCAGAGCACACAGCCTTATCAGGATGGTGTTTCCTATCCCAGTCAAAAAAGCGCATCTGAGAAATAAGCCAGCAAGTATCAATATTTTTCTTCCTGCTTTACAGTTCAGCAAGAGACTAATCCACATGGTGTTTAAAAGCTCTAGGGGGAGGCAGCAATGCTAGTTGTCATAACAGTAGAAACATCACTTCCCTCTTTCAGCCCATTGTAACAGGTTTTTAGCATGTTGGTGTTTATTAGTTTTCTCCTCTTCATGCAGGCAACACATTTTTGAAGGCCATAAAGATTTTGCAAAAGACAAGGTCTCCATCTGGAATCTGCTTTTGAGATTTATCTTACCCTTAAAACATACTATTTGGTATTGCCTTTCTTCAAGAATAAACAATTTAAAAACAATATATCTGCAAATATCAAAATTAGCTGGAGCACGCACTTGCCTATAAAATGATGTACAGAAGTGAGACAAAAAGCCATCAGACCAGCAAAATACTGATTTGCCATAAGTCCACAGATGTCAGATACCTAATCTAAATAGCTGAAATATTTTCTCAATTATGTACAAAAACAACCTAATGTTTTTTTACCTTTTTTTTTCTGTTCAGAAAACTATGTAGCACTTTATAACATCTGCCATAAATTAAAACTGTCCAAAACCGCATCTTCAAAAACAAGGGGCACACCTCCTCAGAGGAAAGAGACTACTGCAGTTCATAGGTCTACCCATTAGACACTTATGTTGAAAGGAACAGGCTTTTACAGTCCCCACTACAGAGTAATTATGCCAAAAAGTTGGTTTCTATTTTCTTAATTAAAAAAAAAAAAAATCATGTCTGAGCAAGGGTAGAAATGAAAAATTAAGTATACTCCCTCAACACAAATTGCATCCAAAGCACTTCTTCTCCAACGCTTTGGCTTGCACCAGGTTTTACTTTCTCATTAGCTGGTTGTTTGGATACTTGGAAGTTCAAATACGTAGAGCACTATGAAGCACCAACTATTGCTTTTGTTTCCGTAGCAGGGGGTTACCGAGAAGCGGCAGCACCCAGGAAAAGTCTTCCTGAGCACCTCTTGCTGTCACAGGGCAGGAGCTCCCGCTCACCAGCCCCCAGGACACGGACCCCGAGCTCAGGTGAGCGGCACGGGCAATCGACAGGCATGATGTTGCCGCCGTCCCACGGGGATTTAACCAGCAGGGAATGAGCGCTCGCCCGCGAAATAAACCCAGCAGAGCTCCTACAGCCCAGGGGAGGGGTGTGCGCCCCGGACCGCTCCCAGGACAGGGTGTGTGCGGGGCAAGGGCTAGGCGAGGCGCTGCCGCCACCACGCGCAAACACCGCACAGCTGGGCCAGACGGGAGAGAACCGGGGGAAAGGGAGGGAACAAACAAACAAAAACCCCAAACAAACAAACAAAGAGAAAATTCATATCCAGAGCTCGGGGCGGGGGCCCAACACCGCCGTGCTCCGGCCAGGCGAGCCCCCCCAGTCCGGACAGCGCGAAGAGCCCACAAAGCCCTCAGGGCCCGGCCCGGTCCTTTAACGGCGGGGCCGCGGGGCCTCCGCGCGCCCGAACCCCTCCGCGCCCGGCCCGCCAGCGTCGAGCACTGATTGGTGGTCGGCGGGCGCGCCGCGCTGTAAGGCGGGCAGCCATTGGCGAGCGGACGGGCCGCGCTGTAAGGCGGGTGTCCATTGGCGGACGGGCGGCCGCGTGCGGGCGCTGCCCGGCTTTGTACACGCGCGGCGCTTTAACAATGGGCGCGGCGCGCGGCACCGCGTGATGGCGGCGCTGCCCCGGGGTCGCCGCGCCGCGCTCGGGTGTCCCGGGCCGGGCCCCGCCGCCGCCTCTGCGCCCCCCTCGCCCGGCCGTGCCCCGCCGCGGGAGGGGGCGGCTTAACGAGCCGCACTTGTGCCCCACATGGCGGCCAGCTGGGCCGGGGGGCCGGGGGCGCCCCGCGGCAGCTGATCGCGGTTAACCGGGGGCGAGCCAGAAAGGGGCAAGGGTGGCGCTGCCCGTCCCGCCCTCAGCCAGCGCCGCTTCCTCCCCGGTGCCCGGGCCCGGGTGCCGCGCCGCTCCGCCCATGGAGCTGGAGGCGCAGTGGTGGACAGGACAGCTGGCAGCCGACATCCACCAAGCGCTTCGCTACAAGGTACCCCAGGGGGGCGGCCCCGGCGCCTTTGTGGGGCTGCGGCGGGCGTAGAGCGCGTGTGGGGCGGCCCCGCTCGGCCGCCGGGCTCGGCGGGGTTGGCTTTTGTAGATTTTGTGAAGCTGGAACCCGCTGTGCCTGCCTTCCCTCCCGCGGGTGCTCGGCCCGTCTGCCCTGACAGCCAGACCGTGCCCTTGCTGCTCTGGAAGGCACAGGGGTCACGGAGCGCCCGGTGCTGCTGTCGGGACGTGTGCGGGGCTCCGGGTCTGAACTCCGCGGGGATTATGGTGATGTTATTGGAAAAAAAAAAAAAAACTCAAACAAACAAAAACTCGATGGTGCAAACGCTGGGTGCGGTAGGAGTAGTAGAGGGCTTAGGCAATTTCTCGGAATTCGCTTCGACTGACTCAAAAGTTGCTCTTTGGGGCTGCTTTCATAAAGCACATCTTACGCACAGAGCTGAAAATCAGTTTATAGTGACTGAACCTACCAAAACCGTGCTTTTGCCGTCTGATAGTAGACGGCCAGCGGATTATCTTTCCTGAAGGTGTGGTTCCTAAAGCAATTTTTTTTTTTTTTTTTTTTTTTTTTTTTTTTTTTTTTTGGAGGGGGGACACACACTTGAAAGAAGGACAGGGTCATTTTTTTGCTACCAAAGTTATCGTTACTAAGGCTAAGTTACTGCTGTGGAAGGTGAATTCTGAAGCTTAGTAGGTGGAGGGTTTGTTTGGGCAGAGTTTTTTTTCACTTCAATAGTATGTTTCAGAACTTTGAATTCACATTAAAAACTTCTAAAAATTTGTGTGACTCTATTCCTACTTGGTGTCATGAAGTTGAATTCAAATCAAGTTAATTTCTGCTGAAAAAGTAACTTTACTCAAAATCCTATTTACACATTGTGAGTGGGCTGCACAATCTAACTTAGAAGTTTATTCATGATACTGCTGTATACAAGAGGAAGTACTGGCTACTAAATAGGAGCCTGAGGAACTATGTTTTCTACCAGTCCAAATTTTGTATTCAAAGTAGATCATGCCATGGATTTTTATCAGCTTTGGTGTTGGTAGGGCTTTATTTTGAGGGGTCCCCCCCCAGATTTGAGACGATGTGAGATTGGTGTACACTGAACGGCCTGAGAGCACACAGTAATTGGTGTCAGCGCTACATCGGTCAGGTCAGTGTTTAAACACACGCATGCAGCAAATGTTGGTACGTGCACTCCCCATTCCTCTTCTTAAGGTTCAAGCTAGCTGTTAGTGGTCTTTTCCTGGAGGCAGGAGATTTGGCAGCATTGGAACTTGCAAGTACTGCGGTGCAAAGTCTGGTTGCTGGGATTGAGCTGTAGCAAGAGGGGGGTTGAGTTGGACTTCGAGTTGAAGCAGCTGAGGAGAACTTGCATACCCTTGCCATGTCCCTGCTGGGAGGTACAGCCTTTGCAGCAGAGGTAATACAACAGAAACTGTAAAAGCTGAAGTCGCTCTGGCAGACTGCCCAGTTGAAAGATGTTAAATTTTATATTGTTATGCTAGTGTTGTGTAGAAACAAAGTAGTTCTTAGTTCTTCTGTAATACAACAAATAGATTTTGTTCTGTGAAAAAGGAGTCTGAGATCACGTGAAGAGCAGGAAGAAGGAGGAAACCCTTTGAAAATTCCATGATAAATTTGAGAATATCAGCTATATTAATTTGATACCAATTAATACCAAACTAAAATGATGGTTTTAAATAAAACTACCTGCTGCTGTCCACTTAGGAGCTGAAGCTGCCCTCCTACAAAGGCCAGTCTCCCCAGTTACACCTGAGAAGATATTTTGCAGACCTGATTGCCATCGTGAGCAATCGGTTCAGGCTCTGCCCTGCTGCGCGACACCTGGCTGTGTATCTGCTGGACCTCTTCATGGACCGCTATGACATATCCACACAGCAGCTGCACGTGGTTGCTCTCTCCTGTTTACTTTTAGCGAGTAAGTATGTGGTACCAGTCTTTGTAAGGATTATAATAGAGATATATAATCCATAGATAAACATATATAATTGAGATTGTACTGCCAAATGCAAGTTGTGTCTTGGTGGGATACAGTAGATGGGGGAAACCAAGTGAATATAAAAGATGAGCAGATTAGTGTGTGTCAGTTTGGCCCAATTGGTAGAGCCTTTCTTTAAACTCTCCATTTTGATTTCTGTTGACACTTGATGAAACTGAGGGTAGAAAAGACAAACTGCGATTAAAAACTAATGTTTATGTTTGGAAGCAAATTATTCTAATGTGAACTTTCAGACTATGTTGTAGGAACAGAAAAACTATCTTTCTGGGGATATCTCAAAATACTTAGATCCTGTGCTGGAAATGAGAAATTTGCATATCTGTGATAAAGGAAGCATATATAGTCTGCACTGCATCCTGCTGGTGCTCCTTGTGCTTCTGGAATACTCCAGGTTTTGTAAATTGCAATGCTAAGCTAATAAACAGTGCTAAGCAAGCTAAAGCTAACATAAGTCCTGTATAGTGACATACAAAATGTAATAGTGGTGAAATACATTTGTCAATGCACAGTACTCCGAAGACAGAATTAGTTACAGTCATTATGAACAGTGCTGCGTATATTGACCTCAGCTAGATTCTTGAGTCTATCCACCTTTCAACATTTGTGGACCCCTTTTCGATGTCCCTGAAGAAATATGGGTCTGGTTTGCTGGGAAATCTGCTGGCTCTTGTTCTTAAACCAATAGATTCAAAGAACCTGGTACTAGCAGCGGAACTAACTGTTGGTTCAGTTTCTGCTGATCTGTTTCTCTGAATCTATTTTCATTTTCTTAAATAAGATGTATCACACTGCAGCTCTAGGCCCTCTTCACTACAAAACTGGAGCGTTATGGTGTTGGCTGGTTTTGGTGAACAGCATCCTTTCATTGCATCCCCTGTCTCCACCAACACAGCTATTCAGCAGAATAGTTAAACCAGAAAAACATTATTTCAGATTCTTCTGAAGGTTAGACACTGACTAGGTGCTACCAGCCAGCAGTCTTCTCTTGGCAAAGGATATCATGCTGAGTATGAAAACCTTGCCTCAGAAACCACTGTAATCCATTTAGGAAAATGAATTGGCTTTGAACTAATGCCAGATTTTCAAATTAAATTCAGGTTCTGAAAAGAATCTTTTTTTTTTTTTAAATGACCTCTGCCGTCTTTCACGGCAAGCTGCAAGAAGAGCTCTGAAAGCCTAGAGTACTCACTCTTCTGAGAAGCAGTGTATTGGTTCAGAGAGCACAAACCAGAATGCTATTTTAAACTTTCACCCTGAGTGTCTTAAACAAGCAATTTAATCCGTGGTGTAATAGGTTATAACACTGATATATCTGATAAGGTTATATAAGTAATAAGATAAATTATTATGTTATTCCTGAAGTTTTTATTTCTGTAACTACTGGAGTATGAGAAAGAAAAACAGACTGGGACTGGTATTTGATTAAGTCCTGTATAAGTACCTCTGCTGTTGAAAAAAGCAAACGTTCGTGTATGTTCAGCCCTGCAAAACTCAAAGAATGTGCATTTACAACACATCATGTAGTACCGAATAGAGTGTAAGATGGAAAGAATTTGCAATGAAATTGAAATAGCACAACCATATGGCAAACTGTATGGAAATGTGACACTTGTTTCTCTTATTAATGGGTTTTCTACGTACATAATTTTGCTGTAGGCTAAAAACATACAGGCCTGACAAGTTAAAAGTCCAAGGCAAGCTGAAGCTGCTAGCAGCGTTAAAGTTGAAACTGTGTATGGCAGAGGGGGTTTTCAGATGCACATTGCTGAAATCCACTTGTTTGAACTGCTGGAGCAGTTTGCCAACTCTCAACTCTAAAACTGTACCTACCATAGCAGGCATTAAAAGCAGCCACGTTTACTAGAGCTCTAACTGTGCTCTAATGAGTTCTAGAAACAAAAAGGGTCTGTGGGGGTAGGAGGGTGATTAAAGCCAAATGCTGTTGTGGTTGTTTGCCAAGTCACATCAAAGTGGTATTTCATTGATGATGGGGACACATTACACAATAATTTGGTGACAAAAACTTGCATATGCAGTGCCAGTGATGTCCTAATGCATCTTACTTGTGCTCTTGGCAACCAGCTTCTGTGTGCCAGCGTGGGAAAACCAACAGGAAACGTGGCACTGCAAAATATGCTACACAGTGTTTGACATTATCTGCTGAAATCTAGCCCTTTATAGTACATGCCCCTTTTTGTCTCTGATATATTCCATTTGAGCTTTGCATCTGCAGTAAAGTCTCAGGCTTCTTTGACTCAGTAGAATTGAAATATGACCAATGCAGACATTAGATACAATCCATTTTATAGTTCACTTGTGCTGAACCTTTTTTTTCCCCTCTTCTTTCTTTTCACCTGAAGGTAAATTTGAAGAAAAGGAAGACAGTGTTCCCAAACTTGAACAGTTGAACAGCTTGGGCTGTATGACTAACATGAATTTGGTACTAACAAAACAGAATTTACTTCATATGGAGTTGTTGTTGCTAGAAACATTTCAGTGGAATTTGTGCCTCCCAACTGCTGCTCATTTCATCGACTATTATCTTTCTATTGCTGTCCATGAGACTGATCTCCATGATGGCTGGCCAATGGTCTGCTTAGAGAAGACTAAGTTATATATGGCAAAATATGCTGATTACTTTCTAGAAGTATCGTTGCAAGGTGAGTTACGGATTTCAGATAACGACTCCTTTGTTGTCGTGACAGATAACGTCAAACTTAAATGAATCTTTTCTCTTTCCTTCTTTCTAGATCATGAATTTTTAAATTATGCCCCATCTTTAGTTGCTACTGCGTGTGTAGCTTCCTCAAGGATTATCTTGCGTCTCTCCCCAACGTGGCCCACCCGCCTGCATCATCTGACCGCCTACTCCTGGGATTTCCTGGTGCCCTGTATTGAGCGACTCTTGATGTAAGTTAACAGCACCAGCTTTTTCAAAGCCTGTTTCTGCATCTGTTGTTACACTTAATTGCTGTCAACACTGCAATCGAATTTCTTTCTTAATTTCTGTTTCTCTGTTCTAGAAATACTTATGTATTAGGGAATATTGTTAGGTAATAGCTGTTTTGTACTTTCCAAAAACAAGTTTGTCAGATCTAACCTCTTTCCTGTGCTTTCAACAAATAAACCTCAGCTTTGCATTTCCAATGAACATCTTCTGGGATGCTTTGAGAATCTTAGATAACTTGTTCCTAATCTCTCTGTTCTGCTCAGAGAGTAAAAGGAGATGGTGAAGCACACTGAAGGCACAGGATCTTCCATAGTCAAGGCATGCTCCAAGCAGATGATGGATCAAACGCGCAGACTGTTTGAGTGGCCAGCTTTTGGGGGAGGAAATGACTGGGAGTTTGGATCTATTTTTGTTGTATCCATTCTTGCACTACAGTAGAGAGATACGGCTGACATGAGATAAAAATGCCAATGAATACCAAATGAACCTTACTGGGAAAGGATGTTACACAATCTACTTTCCCCCTACAGAAGTTTGCTCTTGCCCAGATCTAAACAAAGTTGTGATCAGTAGAAGCACAGTGGTATCTGGAAGAATCACACTGGTCTTAGAAGTGTGACATTATCACCCCGATGGCCTCCTCTGATGTGTGTAATGAAAGTCAAACTGAAGTAATGAAAGTACCTGAAGCATGCAAGTGCTGTTGCAGAAGTGTTGCTCTGGAACAGTTTGGTGGGGGAACACCCTAACAAATTAGGGATGTAGTGTGTGCATCTGCTTAGCCTCAGCATAAGAGCAAGAAAGAGTGTGTCTAAAGGTGTTTCAGACAGGTGTAAATCAAAGGGAATTCAAGTGAGCGTACTGGATGGCGTAGAAAAAAGGTGAGAGGAAGGGGGAAAAAAAAAGTTTCTGCTTCCCAGAAGAGGATCCGATACCAATATAATCAACATACATATGATCTTTAAGTACTGTAATGGAGATCTTAAAAGCATTTCTGATATCCTGTGTTTAAAAACCTTATGCTCTGTTTAATTTAAATGAGGTAGAAGCAGCAAGTATCTTTCCATTTCAGGTTCTGGTAATCTGGAAATTTATTGGGATAATAAAATGCAGTACCAACCTTTATTGCACTGTAATTCTAGATACTGCTGTATTATTTGTATTGTACTTGGCTATTATCTGCATTTTTATTGCTATGCAGTGAGGTGAAATGCTGAAAAAAGAATGTACCCTAACCAAATTTTAAAACCTTAGATGATTGTAAAGGGTAGGCTAAAACTATTTTCTTTCATTTTTAAAAAAAGCTTTGGAAGCTCTCAGATATTTGCGTCATTTTTAGAGTCCTCTTAAAAATTAGCCCAGAAGAGTTTAAATAGTATCTATTTTGATGTATTCCGTGTTCTCCATTTGTTTCAGTGCGCATGATAATGATGTGAAGGAAGCAAACAAGCAAAAAGGACAACACGCTCAGTCTGCCCAACACTCTGTATTTCAGCCCCCAGCCCCAACCCCCCAGCAGGCCAACACTCAGCAGCACATACCCCACTATCTGCAGGCTCATCAGTCTTCATTACAGTACCACCATCAGACATCACAGCAGCAAAGCTGCCAACAGATATTATCATCTAATCACACAGCATCTTACCCGCTTCAGACTTGCCCTGCTGCCTTACAGTCCAGTGGCCAGGCCCGAGGCCACGTACAGACTGGTGCTGCCACGTCCTTGGCTGTGCCACTGGAAGTGAAGCCATGTATTAGTGTCTCCTACAACCGGAGTTATCAAGTGAATGGACGATATTCCTGTATTACTCCCTGCTTTGAGAGGTGATAACTACAAAAAGGTTTTGTGCGTGTTTGTTTGGGGTGGGGAGTTGTGTGGAAACTGTTTCATTTTTTTGTTGAATCTCAAGTAAGTTTGAGGGCAAAAAATTGAATAAAGAAGGTGTCTTTCCAGGAAAAAAAAGCATCTGGGTTGGCAACCAGTACCACAGCTCAAATACAGACTGCAAAAAATAAGCACCCGGACCATCCTCTGCAAAAGACTCTGTATGCTTGGGGATAATAAGTTCTTACTCTGACTCTCAGCATATTCTGTTCTTCTAATGCGTGTCTGTGAAATACTATTCAAAAGAAAAATAGCTGTGGACTAACTACAAACTTACCTTTTAATGAAGGAGATAATGCAGTATTATTTTGAAGACATTTATGTTATACCACCATACAGTATTAACACTTACTTTATATTTACTGAAACTTAAGAATCCACTCAATGCCAGACTTCTACCGATACCCGGTGATCACAGGAAGAAACACATCTCATCTGGCTAACTCCATATTCTTGCCCCTTTTTCACCACTTGTGTTGGATATTTGCTTTAGGCTAAGGCATGTGAGTTAACTGGTATTTTGGCTAATTTTTAAGTTTTGTACCTTACAGGACAGACAATATCTTTTTGCCTCTTTTCTCCTCCCTATCCTTTTTATGTTTAAAGTAATTCTTTCATACTAACTCAGGGACTTTTCTATTCATTACTCTGTGCTGCTGGTTTGTACACTAATTGGGTATAACTTGAGGAAGGAAGGCGGAGGGGGAAGATACTATAGCAAGTGCAGTGGCTTTTCTTCAGGGCATCTATGCAGAGAACCAAAGGGATGTGTCAGTGTTCACTGAACACAGATGTGAACTACTGCCCAGCAGTGTGGTAATTGAAGAAAAGAGAAAGTTTCAGCTGAATTTGTACTGTACCAGAACTTCTGCAGTGGCTGTGATTGATCTGTGTACACACACGCACACAAACACACGTGTATTATTGACCAACAGAAAGCATCCTCCAGTTGTACTGACAGTGTCACTCGTACAAAACAAGTACAGTTAAATGCTTACAGAAATACAGTTCTGTCAGGCTTATGGTGGAGGGAAATTCTCAGGTAATAACGTGGCAACTTTTTCTTCTACTGTTTGGGAATTCTAGAAGAAGATACAGAGATTTACTCTTCTAAATGGGTGGATCAAAAATATATTGCAGAGTGAACTGCTTTATCACAATTAAGGTGCTAATTACATAACTTTATGGAATTACACTCTCTCCTGTGGAGTGGATAGTGTGAGGGTAGAAAGCTTCACTCATCCAACTCTTGGATGAAAATGGTGGTAGAGATATTAATGGAGATGGTTTGGGGGTTTTTTGTTTGTTTCTTTTTGTTTGATCTTTTCCCTAATACAAGAAGATACCTGACTTTTTCCTGTGGTAGAATGGGAGGAAGAGCTATGGATGACAGGATTCTTACTACTTAAAAATATCTTTATAGTATCTAGGCTTAAGGGTTGTTTTTGGTTGTTTTATTTGTTCTTTTACCACCTTCTCCCCTGTCTTAGTGGCAGCACTTAAAATTGTGTACCATCGAATGACACTGAAGCATTGTGAATCTTACAGAGACTGTTTTGAAAGCAGGGGCAATTAAGTTACAATATCAATATTAAAGTGAAGCCTTTATGACTATAATGTTCAGAATGGAGGGAGGACAGCTGTGTTCATTCATTCTGGTGATCAATTATGTAACATGCTATAAAACCTATTTATTGCTGAGGAGAAGAAATCCTGTTTCTCTTGTTTTGTCTTTTAAATCCCAGTTTTTGTTGTGGGCTTCTGTAGCATAGATGTGCAAGTCAAGAGGGATGGGAGGGTGAATGGAAAAGATGACCCTCTCTGTTTTATGCTAGAGAATCAACTTTGAAATAGGCATAGTGTGGTCAGTTCTTTATTAAAGTGCAAGTTGGTTTGGGTTTTTTTTCCTCTCCTCTCTTCTTCTCTTAATGAATATTTCCCCATGTCTGAGAGTAGTGTTAAGTAGAGACTTTCCACCTCATAAGATGCCGTGCTTTTTGCTCGGCACTGTTGCCCATCTTAGAGGGAAATGGACTTCTTTCTGCTGGTTTGATTTGTTGCAATGCTGTATCCAAGTCCTCAGTGCTCTAACTACCTCTGATGCTATGAATGTACAGTCTTGTAATAGACCATGACTTGAAATAACAGCAGATGCCTGTAGCAATTTTTTCTGTAAAATCTTTAAATCAGTGAACTTGTCATCTTTTTTGTGACACAGCAGTATAGGCTCTTCTTTTTGGGGGTATTAGTAAATTTATTCCATAGGCATTCAATATAAAAAAAATTAACTAATACTTAACACTGGAATTATAATGGGTGGGGGGCTTATTCAGTTAGTTAATACTGCAAATTTGCATTTAATAGGGTATTATTTGACTATTTTGAGACATTAGGTCAATTGTAAAAAGATCCACTACATGCTGTTTGTTTTTAATTTATTACTTAGTTTGCGGGTTTTTTTCTGACACTACAGCTGCATCATGACTGCAGAGAAAATGTACACTGAACAGTTTCAATCTGTATTATTTAAAAGGGCTTTACCAGTGTACATTAAAAATACACTGTTCTTACTATTAGAACCAAAATGCGTTTTTTATGGCATAAATAAGAATGGTGCTCCTAAATGCAAAATGTCCAAAACAATGGAATCTTTGTGAGTGCTATGCATTCAACTTATTTTTTAAAATAAAACTAGTTTTGAGTAAGAAGGCTCCAGTGTGTATTATGCTTTTGTGTGTGTGGTTTTTTAAAATACGTAAACAGTCTTGCCCTGGGTATGGGCTGAGGCTGTAAGGACTTCTCTCTCCCTCCCCCCTACCTTTCTGTACCACTATCATCAGCTTCAGGAACACACTGACTTCACAATTGAAATAAAATAGGAAGGAAATCATGCAGGAAGGGGCTTTAAAACTAATTGCAGCCACAGCATATGCTAAATATTGTACACTTCAACAGTGTGTCTAGTACTGAGCTATAACAAAGAAATCAAGAACAAAAGGACTGAAGTAGTTCAAGAGCCTGGGGGATGAATTCATTTTGTTCTCATAACAAAAAAAGGAAGCAGTGATACTAGCAACCTCCAATTTCTAATACTAAAAATCATTTAGGACATGTAGGAATAGCCATTTGTCAAGAGCTACAAGCACTTACGTTATTTACAATAGCTGCAGAGGCTCGTTCATGCTGAAGGCAACATAAAAATCCTAGCACAAATATTTTTGAGTGTTTTGAACTTCTGATAACTGCTTCTTAGTTGAAGAAATGCTAGTTTTTTCCTACCAATGTGCATATTTCACATTTGTAACGAGGTAGTGATCATGGCTAGAGCTCCAAAAATTAAGTAGCTTGCATAGAATTTAATTCCTCTAAAGTTAGAAAATGAAGTTGTGAGGCCTCAGTTAGTTTTCACCCATCCACTTAAGAATAAGCTCTGTGAAAACCTTTTTTAGAGGGCCTAGAGCCAGAGGGAGAGCAAGCTCTACCCTGTCCTGCTAAGGAACAAGGGCAATGCTCAGCATGGTGGTGGCATGCACATTACATGGGTACTTTGATCTGGAAAGTTTCATCCTCACCCTTAAGGCTGAAAAAGTCAAGTCTGTCTAGACTGTCTCCTTGAAATCTGAAGGTTTTATATGTTTTTTTACTGTAATTACAAAATAGGAACTACCCATGGCATTTTTGAGTTCTTAACAACTACAAGGACTGCCAGATACTTTTCAACATTTCAGTAGAAGTCTCAGCTTCAGATATTAAACTGCAAGTCTGAGGCTTTTTTGTGTTTGTGCATAACCAGAAAATCTATATCTCTGCTTCCTGTGACCCAGGTTCATTATCTACGTTAAATATGAGTATATTTAAGCGTTGCAAATGTAGCTTAAAAGATGAAATTTCAAGTTAACATTTTAGTGACTGGCACATCACCAGGAATAAAGACTTTTTGTGACTGTATACTGCTGTTTGTACAAGCCAGAAAGTAATGCAGCATCCTCCTTTAATACTTCATAAACCCTGCAGTCTGACGGTTCACAGGAACAAAAGTCTTGTGAGTAGATAAGGCCTTATCTGAGTGAGCACAAGCACCCAGTTAGTCATCTCGTACTACAAGGCTGTCAACAGCAATTTCTGAAAACACGAAGTAAAGCAGCAATAACAAAATACACAGCTATTTTTAGTCTCCATCCCAGTGATATTTTAGAAGTTATGGCACAAGCACAATTGTGAAGTTTACGTTACACATTTTGCTCTTTCTCTGTAATTAAATATTAGATTTTAGTAGCTTCAGTAAACAAGACAGGAATTCTGACGAAAAGCATTTGCTACTAAACATTCAAAACAACGTATTAGCTGAATTAATTAAAGGATAACCACATAGAAAGTAGCTCCAGGTTGTAGAAATTCTCAGTGCAACCAAAGATGTGGGCCGCTGCTGCCAGTCCTACCAAGATAAGAAGGGAACCTTGAGAAAGACTTCCAAGTGTTAAAATTGTAAACCTGAGATTCAGTATATAATGTTCGTATTCATCACTGCACGTCAGTTAAAATTGTTATCACACCTACTAGTGGTGTATGTATTTGAAAACTGTTTAGAAATATTACTTGCTTTTCTTTGAACATTTGCATTTACTCTCTTGAAGGAGCAAGATACAGGAATACTTCCATGGAACAACCCATTAAATCTCTGTTAAAAGTGTGCATTTCCCATCTTCTGTTAATAATTTAAAAGACCACTCCAAGGCTATATATTCTATAGGAATTTGTTCATGCTAATCAGTCAGTAATTACTAGGAGATTTACTAAGAGCTTTTAGAATACCAATTTATAGTTTATTCCACAAATAACACATAGTTAGAATCTTCCTGGAACAAACTTTTTGTGGTACTGAAATGATGCATTATAGTTTTGCCACATTTTGCAACCAAAAAGCTGCATTTCCTAGTTTTCATTCCTTATCTAGATGATTGCTGTAAGTCCCTTCCAACTGAAATACCGAGCCTATTATCTTACTCATGAGTGGTCAGCAACAGTAACTTTGTTGTGAGACATAATTTAACTAAAGGACTCTTTTTCATGCCTGACAGGAGAAACTTAAATAGACCCACAAAAATGCACAAAGTAATATTTGAATATGGATAAAAACACAAGAGAAAATTCTTTGCTAGGAATTTTGGAAAAATAAGTGCCAGGTTGATGCTCTGCTTCAGTTACTAACTGCAAATGCATGTATGGCATCTGCACATGGTATCTGATAACTGGGGGAAAATTTGTTACAGCTGCAACTGGAAAGGATTATTTCAGAGAAAGAAATAATTGTTACATATCTTTATCAACAACCACTCTCTGATTAAAACCTTTTAATATATAAAAGGTACTCTACTGCACGTGCAATGCTTATAGTTAAAATGAAGCATTTTACAATCACCTTTTATGGACTTGGGTACTTGTCAAGTATGACATGTCAAGAATTATTTTCAAGATTTATTTTCAAGATTGTTACTTATCAAGAGTTATTTTTCTCCTTAAACACATTTTTCTACGCATCTTCAGGTATTTAGGTATCTTTATCCTATTTAAGGAAACAAAGAATATATGTAAAACATTACTTAGAAATTTTCAGAAAACTGTAACATAGAAGTATCTGAATAGAATAGAAATAGTATTGATACTGAATAGAAGTATCTGAAAATTACTGTATGCACAATGGCTATACACTTTGTACACACTGTGGATATTCCACTATTCAAGCTCTCCAGATTGGGTACTTGGAAGACTTACCCTCCTTTCAGTTCCACCTATGAATTTATTAATGAGACTCCACAGCAGAAGAGAAGGACAGATTATGAATCTGCTTATTGTCAACACAATGTCAGGAAAGATTTTGCCAAATCCCTCTTTTACCCTCTTCTACAGTCATCTACTTACATATTTTTATTCCAACCACCAATCAAATATGTTATTTAGAGAGTTTTCTATTTATTTTGTTTGGTTTTAAAGCAGTAATAGCAGCAATGCTTTGCTAAGTGTTGCAGTGTGCTTAGATGCGTGAATTTTGCAGGGGGTAGATGACACTCCAGATGGCTTCCCTGCAGATCTCCAGAGATGGAGAAATTCTTCAGAAATGCCACAGAGACTCTTTCCAGGGAAAGTGCCTGTATTTTGGAGAGCAATTCTATGCTTCTGGCCTTGCATTGTATCTCAGTGCTCAAATCTTATCTTAGTGCACATTCACTGGGGTGCAATAAGGACAATCTCCAAGGACTTGGATATTCCATACCCTTTCAGTGGAGATTATGAATACCTAGACTATCTTCATTGACAGATGAAGGAGTGGGTGTGTCTCCTAAGACTTAAGAGAACCAGCTGGTGAAAAGGCAGCAAGCATGCAGCACTACACCTAGGAGAGACCATCAAGGTTTTTTTCCATGTTCTCGACCAGCTAGACTGTGAGAACACAAAACCAGCTTGGAAGCACTTCCATCGCCATTTTCTCTTGGCAAATGCTGCCTCTTATGTTTGTTTCCATAAGCCATCCCCTGTTTATATATTCCTGTTTACACAATTTTAGTGCATACATTGGTTTATTTTTAACAGGATACTCTCTTATCTCCACATTCTTGCATTCTCCCCAGTGATGAAGCATCAGCATTCTGGAGAGTGTAAAAACGTATCAAACTTCTTGTAACAGATCCCCTCGTAATGCAGCCCCATTAAGAGACTCCAAAAAATTTCTCTAGTTAATACAAATGCCATTTTACCTCCTATATCAACACAAAATGGATATCTGCAGTGATGTGCACTTCCATTAGAAAAGAAAGTAAAAAGGCTATTTAGCTTCCTTATATACTTGCAGGAAGATTATAAAACAGATTTAAAGCGGCACCTTCTTCTGCAACCTTTTAGAAATTGTTCTCTTTCCTTTGAAAAAAGGTGCAGGACGACTCTGAATAAATCAAAGTCAAATATGTCAAAAGAATAATTACAGCACAAATCACAGCTGTCTTGAATACTACTGTATTTAAAAACAGGATTAAAGAAATCAACTTCCGTAAGTATTTTATTTTACCTTACAATTGCAGTGACTGCACTGACAAATTGACAAAAAATGGTCTTGCTTAAAAGAGGATTCTAAGAAGATGAAACAGCAGAGGGATGCAAAATAATAACACCAAGAAAAAAACAGTGTTCTTATTCATCTCTCCATTACTTACAAAAAAATGAAAGCAAGGAACATTTAGTGGAACTGAAAGGCAATGTATTTAAATCAAAATTAACTAGAACAAATTATCGCAGCTTTCAATGAGGTCAGAAGCTTAGCAGGATTTTCAAGAGATTAAGCCTTTACATAGCTAATGAAATCATTCAGGATTTAAGCCAAATACTAATGGAGGTAGGGAAGAAATATCTCTTAATGCAAATTAGTCAGTAAGTGTCTATGAAGGGATTTCTTGCACCTTCCACTCAGTGAATCTGACTAAATGCAGAAAGCAGAGGACTTTCCTAGACTTGATATAATAAAGCAGTTACTTTTCAGTACATTTTTCTGTATAATAGATGTATACTCAATTCTGCTGAGTAGTTGGTATTTTGTATGCTTTCCTAGGAACACAAGTAAAAATGTGCAAACATTTATTGAATTAAAGACTTACTTCTAAAACGGACATTCCCAAAAGCACCCAGGCTTTTTTCCCAAAAATACAGAAAATATTCA